CCTTGTCTTGCCACTGTTATCATTGAAGAAGAGGCTAAGACATTGTATGTCAGCGGTGTGCTAATCTGAAGACAGAACAGCCTTTACCTTGGTGTAAACAGCAAATGCTGATTCTTGTATGTGAAGATTATTCTTGGGTTGGAAGCAGCAGGCTTCTAGGAATGAGATTTCTGCACCAAACTAGAAGGTAAAATGAAGGTCAAGAGTAGAGGGGTGTAAGAGGTAGGAGCTGGGGAGGCAGGACACACCCAGCTCATAACTGATATCTGCCCTGGGGTAGACTTTATTAGGACCACTCAAAAGGGTTGAACATAGAGGAGCACTCCTATTTATTTTGTGATGCAGAGGTAGCAAACTCTTCTCAGTAACCACCTAGAGGTTCATTATTATCTTAAACCTTCTCCTTGTGCAGCAACTGACCAACCACATCCGTGACACCCTGCCAGGGCTGCGGAACAAGCTCCAGAGCCAGCTGCTCTCCATCGAGAAGGAGGTGGAGGAGTACAAGAGCTTCCGCCCCGACGACCCTGCGCGCAAGACCAAAGCTCTGCTTCAGTAAGTGGCCTCAGCTGCAGGTCCTGCCCTGGAGATGGCTACTCAGCCGTGACTTCTACTTCATGCTTTTTGTTGCCTTTTAGGATGGTCCAGCAGTTTGCTGTGGACTTTGAGAAACGCATTGAAGGCTCTGGAGACCAAATTGATACCTATGAGCTGTCAGGAGGAGCTAGGATTAACCGCATCTTCCACGAGCGCTTCCCCTTTGAACTGGTGAAGGTACTGCTTCCCTGCTGCTGAGATCCACTTGGTCTTGTCTGTCACCTCTTCTGTCTGTCTCCTTACTCCTTTGGTATCTTTCATCATCTCTCCTTCCCTTTGACTACTTTGTTTCATTTTTTTCCTTTTATCACCTCCTATTTTCTCTCTTTTATTGGAGCCTTCCCATAGTATTGACCTTTTCCTCAGTTCCTGTCCTTGTGCCAGAACTTAACTTTCTCTTCATTAAATGACAATGTTTCCTGGGCTTAATTCATAAATGCTAAAATAAATGTGCAAAATAACTTTTAATGCAAACATTAGTAAATAAATGACTGAATATTCTTGCAGATATGTTGTCAAAGCTACTTTGACTGAATTTTGCATACTGGGAATGGTGCTGAAACCTGTACTTCTTTGGTCCTGAACACTAGACTAGACCTAAAGTTGCCCTAATAGATATACAAGAAGCAGGAAAGAGGATGTAGATATATAACTTTTATTTATTCATGTTTGCGTTAAATGAATATTTTTGCAGATATGTTGTCAAAGCTACTTTGACTGAATTTTGCATACTGGGAATGGTGCTGAAACCTGTACTTCTTTGGTCCTGAACACTAGACTAGACCTAAAGTTGCCCTAATAGATATACAAGAAGCAGGAAAGAGGATGTAGATATACCTGGGAGTACTTTTGTCTGTCCCTTAGTGGCCTAGAGATGGGAACAGCATAGAAACTGTTCTACTGGCATAACAGTTGAGGATGATTTCTATTGAATGATTGCTTTCTTGGATGGTAAAGTACGCTAACCTGATCGGAAGTGGTATGGAGAAACTTTTAGTTGGAACAGATTCAAGAGCCAAATCATTCCACTCCTGGATTTTCTGCATTTTGCTTCCTTTTTTGCATTTGGATAAGATGAGGCCTTTTTAGTGAGACACAAGAGCCTGTCTTGTATTGGATAATGCATTTTTGTGTGTGAATTGGAAATCTCTTTGATGTGCACTGAAAAAACATCTGCCAAGACCTTGTGCTAAATCATGGGAGACGAAACAGTTTGTTTTAGAAAGCAGTTCAGTACTTCAGTCCTATTGCGTTATCTCAGAGAAGCTCCTTGGGAGCTGCTGGGCTTGGCATCTGTAAATGTAGGCCCTTCACTATTCATGTCTGTCCAGGGCGTCTGCATTGGCAGCAGAAGCTTTATGGCTGGACTCTCTATCCAGCTCTTGGGCTAGTATCTCATCTGTCACGTGTTAGTGCTGGCATGGGACCTCTTTGTAAAGCGTGCTGTTGTGTATCCTGGGCTTGCGCAAGTGTCGGGCAGCCTCTGATAAAATTCTCTTGCTGCAGATGGAGTTTGATGAGAAGGAGCTGCGGCGGGAGATCAGCTATGCCATCAAGAACATCCATGGCATCAGGCACGTATCATGTGCTAGGCAGACCATTGGCTGCATAGCCTTGTAAATACCTCTAGGCCTTCCGAATGGAGCTGAAGACTTCAGAGGTACGGTAGGTCAGCCAAAGGGGAGGGATGACCTCCTTGGACCGCCCTGGTGGCTTGAATTGGGGATTGGGGCAATCATCCCAGTCAGTTTGCTTTCTATTCCCATGTGAGAGTCGCAGAAGCCTAAAAGGTAAAACTGTCTTGGTGACATTTTTCTCCCTCCTTCTTGTCTTGACATAAAAATGGATGGAAAGAGGGATGCAAGCCCATACTACTCCTTCATTTAGTTAAAACTAAAATGTTGGTTGTCACTTTCTACCTCCATACTGACCAACAGTTAGTTGTCCAAAACAGTTGTTGGTACTGAGTGCCTTGTCTCCAGAGATCTGTGGGCTCACTGGGATAGTTGTCACCAGGATGTGATGGCCCCAGGATGTAGTTAGCAAACACTTGTGTTCCTTCTCAGTGGAGGTTAGCTGTTGGAGCAGAGCCCTGGGACCCTGGGTCGTGCTGCTCCTGGGAAGGCGAGAAGGGCCTGGGGCTGTCAGAGCCCTTCCTGTGCACTGGGATGTGAACAAACACTGACCCAGATTTATTTTCACTCCTTTCTTTTGCTCAGTCACTAGCTGAGCTTGATAAAGGATATCAAATGTTAATGTCCTGATCATCCAAATCTTCCAGAGAAGGCCTCCCATCTGATGCACAACTCAGCTCCAATGTGCTGTGGAGGGGGTAGGCCCTGACACCCTTAGGCCTGGTGGCTGCAGGGAAATGGCCTGGCCATGGCTGCCCAGCTGGGATCTATTTTGCCCTCAGCCTCTCATTCCTGGGAGGTGCCAAGCGTTCCCTGTTTTCCATGAACTACAGTCAGGGCTTGTCTGGGGTGCGTGACGCTCCCCAGCCCCCTGTGCTGGGTTTCAGTGGTGGTGGTGCCCACTCCAAGATACGTGTGTAACGCTGTGACATTCTCCTTGCCCCTTCTCCTCCCTCCTGCCTTGTCTTGTCCCCACCCTGGGTGTTTAGAACCGGTCTCTTCACACCCGACATGGCCTTTGAGACCATTGTGAAAAAGCAGGTGAAGAAGATTAAAGAGCCTTGCCTGAAATGCGTGGACATGGTCATTTCGGAGTTAATCAATACCGTTAGACAGTGCACCAAGAAGGTAACCAGAGGCAGCATGAGCTGGCACCTTCACCCGCTCGCTGGCTGCGGCACAGCATTGTGACCCGGGCAGGGACTTGCCTGTAGCCACACTCGTGTTTCTCACCACCTCCTCAGCATGAGAGACCTGAGCGGTACCAGCCTGGGGCCATCCGGCCAACAAGCCAAACAGGAAGGGAAGTGCTGTGGGACTTGGCCATGGCCCAGCTCCCTGAATGTTTTAGAGCTGAGGGGTGCTGGATGTGTCCCTGCCACCCCTCTGTCTATAGCATGACTCTTGATTTATTATAAGACAAAGGGTATTTCTTATGTGGCCATATTTGACTTCAAATTTAGTATTGGGATTTTTTTTTTTTTCCCAAGCCAGAAACTGGGATTGAAATCTTGTCCCCTCTGTTCTTGTAGAAGTGAGAGGGTAATCCCAAACTGGCCTTTTGGTACTGCTGGGCAAATGCATGGGGCTGAACTTCAGAGGCTGCAGCAGCTACAGCTGTGGGCTGTATTGCAAGGAAATATTCCTGTGGTGTTTGGCTTGGTTTCTGGTTGGCTTGGTCCATATCCTGTTCTGGAAGAGCAGCACATGGCTGAGGAGAAGCAAACTAGAAGTGTCCATCAACCTCTAGAGTCCTGTGTTCTCAGAGAGAGGGCTTCAGATTTTGCCCTTTGGAATCCATACGGGTATTTGTTTGGGCTAGGGGAGGGAACCTGCCTTGACTCTGCCTTTTGGATATGGCAGCTTTTGTTTCTGAAGTTGGGATTGAAAGGCAGCAAGGTAAGAAGACTTCTGCCATTCCTCTCAGCCATGGCTTGCTGCTTCAGGCAGGGCTAGGTACTGTTGAAAAGGCACCTTGGCTAGGGGGGTGGTCTGGGCACTGGAGACTGGAATCACCACTGGCTATTCAGGTGCAGGTAAATGGGTGTTGCAGGAGGTGTCTGGAGAGTCTGATATCCTGTCCCTGTGCGGGGGGAGACGTGCCCAAGTGGTGATAGTTGCTATCGCTTGTAGAAATGCCTAGTCCTTAGGGCCAGGGGCCTCTGCAGAAGGGCTCAGGCACACAGGCACATGCTTCGCCCCCCAGCACAGACTGGGAAAGCAAAGTGGATGCAGTGAGAGACTGCTCAGGTTTCTAGAGTGCTGGAGGAGCTTCCTTTTTCTGTCCTGCTGTCCTCTCTCGGGGTGTGTGACTGTGGGGAGCACCCAGAAAGTTGCCATTAGAGCCTGGCGACAGGTAAGCACAGGCCCTCGGGCTGCCAAGTATCCAGAGTTCCCTGCTAACTGGATCAGAAGGGCCCTCCTTTTTCATGCCCTCTGAAGCTTCTCTTGATTTGTTCTCCATCCATCAATTGCTATTCAAAAATCTCCCGTTCTTCTTTGTTTGCATCCTTCCCTCCATTTCCCATTTCTTTCTTTATTTCGTTTTGTTTTGTCTTTTACTGAGTTTCAGAATAGACTATCTGTTCTGACAGCAGCAGGTTCCTCAAGTGATCAGGTGGTGGGTACAGCAGGGTGGGAATTAAGGAAAGAGACCACAGGGATGGGGGATATATCAGAGATTCAGGGTTAAAGCATTCTGTTTTAGCTTAAATCCTACTGCTAAGAATTTGATGCTCTAGTAACCATGGTTACAATTTTGTATCTGGAGAAACAATGTTGTCATACAAGTGATACTGGAAGAGGCTGATTTTTTCTCAACTTTTTTTTTTTTGTGCAGATCTCCTGAAGTCTGAGAGGAGAGCAGTGTTATATTGAGTTTAGCAGGGCAACTGGATTAGTAGGAAACTGCTTCTAAGTCAGAGGATGCAAACTTGACTCTGGAAATGCCCTTAGTTGGCTCAAAAGGGTTGGTGTTGGCACCTGGAGAGAGACCCTTGGGTGAAGCTGAATCCTATAACATTACAACTCTGCTGTTTAAGAGGTGGACTAATTATAGGTCCTATAATACGTGTTGAGGAGTGTTGTAATACTGGTGTTGCTTGGGGGCTTGTGGGGGTGTGAATCATCACAGAGATATAAAAGATGAGGTGAAAGGGAAAATATCAGATTTAAATGAGGTGGTGGTGATTTATGCTAGCCCTGGATTTGCTATTAGCTGTAAGGACCCCAGGTTTGACTGTTAACTCTACCTTTAGAAAAGCAGTACGTCCTTCCCACATCAAGGGGGTACTGTCCCGTTGAGAGCACTTGCAAAGCAGTAGTGCCCCATGCTAAAACAACTCAGATTGTGTAACAAAGAACAGCCTGGGAGAAGCTCCAAAGTGTTAAAGATGTGCTGAAAAACTTCTTTGGGTGCAGGAGTCTTTAATAGGATTAATCATGGCCATATTTAACCAACTAATTTCTTTGGACTTTCTACTCTCCCAGTGGGGCCACTGAGAATACAGGCCACTTAGTATCAGTGGAAATTAATGCTTCCTTGTAAACCTCAACAGGCCTGTCTTGGGTCTGATGCTACAGGTAGCTGGGGCAGATGGGTGCTTGGTATGGTTGTGAACGCCCTGTAGCATGCTGGCATTTTCCTAAATACTGGATACATCTGTTCTTACTGAGCAAGTTAATGTTGCAGGGAAGGTGAGATGAAATACAATCCATCAGTGGAGCGGTTTGTCTGAATCCCTGAAACTGAGAGGCATCACTTCAGTTCTGCTAAAGTGAGATGCAAATGACCTTTGGAAGTTTTGGCTTGGCTCCTCCTCGGGCTTCCTGCAGCTGGAATAAGGAAAACATGAAGGGGAGGTAACTGGTGGGAGGTAAAGAGGAATGCCTGGGACAAAGAGTAATGAGACACGGTGAGCCTCTAGGAGAGCAGTGGCTCGCTGTGGCAAGCAGCTTTGTCTTAAAATCCAAAGAAGCTTTCCTTCAGGAAAAGATCACTTGATCCCTGGAGGGTTCCATCCGTTCATCTTGCTCCAGCAGCTCACCATTTCACTGGCCCAGCTGCTCCTACCTCATTCCCCTTTGCCACTTCCATTTGCTTGTAGACTCTCCTGATACTTGGCAGTGCACAGGCCCCATAGCGATGCTCACCTGGTTCAGTAAGCTAATGGAATGAACCAAAATCTCACTTCTCATTTTGCCTTGTGTTTTCTCTCTTTTCCCTTTTCCTCCTTTCTCTTTCTTCCTTCTTCCTGCTCTTTCTCTGCTTTGCTTTCTTCTTCCTCGTTGCTTCTTCCCACCCTGCCCCTGCCATGCAGAACGGGTCTCTTCACGCCTGACCTCGCTTTTGAAGCCATAGTGAAAAAGCAGGTGCAGAAGTTGAAGGAGCCGAGTCTGAAGTGTGTGGATATGGTAGTGAGTGAGCTCACATCCACCATCAGAAAGTGTAGCGAAAAGGTAAAGAAACAAACAAAACACAAACAAGTGCAAAGAAAGGTCAATGCCCACACCCTTCTCACACACTTCCATGCTGTTTCTCCACACACACCCCAGGAACTCCAGCAAACCTAGTGAGAGGAAATGGATACAAAGATACATCTGAAGGAGACCAGCAACCTGCAGGTATAAGAGCAGTTTAAAAGCAGGCCAGAGAGAGAGTGGGTGTCAGCTGATGGGCTCTTTAGCTGAGAAGTGAGCTGGGATCCAGTGCATTACTCTAGCATGTAGTTTTCCTCTCTGACTTAGTGGCATTTATCTCATTGTGGATCAAACCCTTTGCAAGACCAAACAGCTGTGCCACTGCCTGTGCATTTGGAACTTTGGCTTGTTTTTTTCTGGAACCCCCTTAAAAAATTCAGATACCATAAGAAAAGATAAAAAGCCAGAAAGACCTCACATCTTCACAACATGAATGGTCTGCAAGGTTCATCTTGGTTGTAGAGCTATGTTGAGTGTTAGCCCATACAAAACAGTTACAAGCTTGAGATGGGTGATGTTCTTCTGCAAGAAATATTGAGAGCCAACAGAAGATCACTGTCCCAAAAGGCTTGGGGAAAAGCTTTTCCAGGCATTACACCCTCTGCATCATTCTCCTGCTGATCTCTCACTCCATAGGGTATGCTCGGTGGGAAGGAGTGTGGGTACTTGTCCTTGTATGCTGTGAACCACAGGAGGAGAAACCTTGGGCTAGCAGAGAGCAGCAGCAAGTGGAGAGGGAAAGTGTCCCGAGGGACATGGAGGGTGTCAAATATGGCTTACAGGCTGGGGCAGGAGTGGGTTTGTCTCCCAGGTTGGTTTCCTCCAGGAGAGGGCACCACATGCCTCCTTAAAAAAAAAAAAAAGGCAGATGTGGCAGTTGGTGTTCAAGTTAGCAGTGAGGGGCCAGAAACGTGTCAGTGGCACAGCAGAAGTATGTTCTGGAAACCGAATTGGAAAGGGCTGTTTCATGAGTTATTTTAGGACTTGAAAATTACAAGTCCCTTCTTCCAGGGTTACAGCCAGACTCACCAGTGTATACCACTAAATTGGGAAGGAAGGGAGGATGAGATCTGAGTTCAGAGTGAAGGTGAAAGCTGAGCTAATTAGGTCTGGTTGTACTTAAGAATACGGAGCTCACATTGCCTCTGTTTAGGAGACATCTTTGACATGCCCTGAGCTCAGCCCAATCTATTTCTTGTGGGGTCCTGCTCTTGCCACATTGTGGAGGCTGATGTGGCAAGGCAGAGGAACAATTTCTCAGCCTGTTTCTCTTGTGGATTTTTTATTTTGACTGGTTTGATTGCTTACACTCTTTTCTTTATCTGGCTGGAAATGTCTGTTCTTGGTGGGTGGGGAGAAGGATCGTTAAAACATTGAGGGTATTTAATTCAAATTTCTCTACTGAACTGCATCATGACATGGTGGAGGAGCCCATGAGGATGTTCCAAAGTGATGTAACCAAAATACATGCTGTAAGGAAGGTGATAGCAGCAGTGACATTGTGGGAGACTAATGGCTATAATAAGAGCTGGGAAAGCCAGGGAGGTCAATGCTAAACAGATGAGAAACAACTGCTGAAATGAAGACCTCTAGCACTAGTGCTGGAAAATATAAGGAAGGCTTTAGTATTGCTTAAAGTCAAGTGCCTACATGTAGTGAGAAGCTTAATCTTGCCTGTATATTCCTCTGAAAGAGTAGAAGGTAACTGCCCTAGGCCGCTTTAGGACAGCAGCCAGCCTGAGATGGGTTCTGATGGCATAAGGCAAAGGGCAGTAGTGGCACAGGGGCTTTAGCTGATTTGCAGCATTTACCTTGCATGTTACAGCCCTAACTGCTTGATGTGAACTAGAGCATGTGCTATTAGGGGAGGCATCTGGAAAAGGCTACTTTAGGACTGATGCTAATTGTAAGGTAGTACCCAGACCGCTGGGTTGTGGACTGATGCTGCCTTTCAGATGACAAAACCAAACTTCTAAACTCACTGAAAGTCCTGCAAGACCTCTTGAAAGGAAGACTGCTTGGGCTAAGACCTCCTGCATTAGCGTGACAGTCCTGTAGCCTTGGTTTGTTGCTGTCCTGAACTGTTGTGTGTAACTGTTTGTGTTAGTGTCACAATTACTTCATTTCACCCCAGATTGTGAAGGAATCTTTGCTTTTGCAGTTGATAAAGCTGCATAGATGGACTAATATGAGATTATCAGTAAGAAACACAGAAGGTGGCAAACCCTTTGGTTTGTTGCATACTGTGGCAGTACAGCTTTCCTGTATGAAAAGAGGTTTATAGTTGATTCTAATGATTATTGGACAAAGTTGAGGGCTGAAGAGAAAGTAGCCATTAAGAGCTGTTCCCTGGCCTGATTCTGAGCTTCCTCCAGTTGGTTAAATGGAGAGGAGCTTCAAAATAAACAGAGAGCTAGTGTAAGAATGCAAACCTTTACATTGAGGAGGATAATATTCTAGCTAGTGTTTTTCCTAAAGCAAGAGCCTCCTGTGCCAGACTGCACTGCAGCATCTCACAAGTGCAGGAAGGTCTTGCAAGTCAGCAGCCCTTCAGCTAAAGGTTGATTTTTGTGCTGGCAAGGACTCCTGAATCTGCAAAGAGAGGGTAACTAAGGAACATTGGGACAAATCTGTTTTCAAAGAGGGCTGTGAACTTGTATTTTGATTTAAACAGGCAAATGCAGCTAAAACAGGATTGAAAACCCACTTGAGCTGGGACATGATCCCAGGCTGACAGTCTTAACCCCTTGAAGGGTCGCCTGCTCTCCTGTCTCAGAGTCATGGCATTTCTGGGTGCTGTTTGTACTGCTGGTGATAACTCCTTGCCCCTTTATGCCCTATTGCATGTTCCCTGGTGGGTGTGACATCCTGTGGTGTGTCTGTGTCTTCTTCCCTTGCCCACTCTTGCTTTTGCATGCTTGGGATTTGGAAGCTTCTGCATGGAGACTGATGCTGTCAATTTATTTTTGCACATGAATGTTGCTGGATGACCTGGGTTCTGAAGAAACCACAACTTGTTTGGCACTTTGTGTGCATTTGTACTGGTTGGGAGTGGGGTGGGGAGGAGGGTGGTTTGATGTTGTGTTTTTTGACTGTTTGTTTTTGGTTGTTTTTTTTCTTTGGTTGAAGCGAAGAAGCTGAGACTTGCTTAGAGACTTTTCCAACTTCCTGTTTTTCTGTTTGACATAACTTGCCCATCTATCCTTTGCCAACCCCTCAAAGGAAACAGGAAGCTTTCCTTGTGTGTCTGAGGCAGCAAGCTGTCTGAACCATAAAGATCATGGAGAACACCTAGTTTGTGCTTGCAAGACAAGGTGGTGGTGTGGAACGCTAATTCCACTTGTTTGTTCCTGCCTCTGTAGGACCATTGGCATTCAAAACAAACCACACATTTGAAAAAACAGGCAGTGTCCAAGCTAGTCTTCAATTCCAGTTCCAGCCCATTGCAACTGGTTTGGCTGCAAGGGGGCTGAAGATGTTTGAAACTATTTGTAGTCAGATGTTAGGAAGATTGTGGCTGGTTAGTGTGGGATCTGGCAACCAGTAGTGATGCTGCAGACTTTTTGAGCCAGTTCCTTCTAGCATGTTATAATTGGTTATGTGTACAGAACAAAAGGCCAAACAAGTTTAAGAGGAAGCGCTCATGTAAGTTGGAGGAACAAACCAAGTACAATACAGATCAGAGGCAAATGAAATTGCCTTTTTTATATACCCCCTTGAGGGCATATATAAAACCAATATTAGGAAATACTATTTGTTATAGTCAGTGGAAGTAATATTTTCTTAAAAAGGAGGGAGAAATTATTTCACAGGGGGTAGGCAAAGTGGGGAAGAAAGGGCTAGATCCTGAGAAATGTACAGTTACTGCCAGAGAAATCACTAGAGCCTTACAGATCTAGGGAAGTAGGTAGGTGCTGTATGAATCCCAGAGGGCTTCAAGGGTGCTGCTTTTGAAAGTGCTTCTCATGTATGGTCTCTGTTCTTTTGAACCACAGCTAGTAAAATCCTTCTGCTTCTCTGGGCAGGCAAGAATTCCCTCCTCAGTAACACGGCAAGAAGTGGGGTGTAGGTGTGATGTGAATATAGGCCTCAGCTATGCAATCCTGCCCCAACAGAGGTTGAAACAGTTGGATGCCTAGAGCACAATGTTTCTTGAAGTCATGTACCCCTAAGCTGGCCAGATCCTGTCTCTGCTTGTGGATATTGGTGGAGAGGGCCAGATGCTTTCACTTAGTGCCTCAGCAAATGGGGATTTAAATCCACTTCCTTGGGAGAGTTCCTATAGGATTTAGAGGTTGTAGCAGTAGGCCATTTGCATACTTAGCCTACTACAATGAGATGCTGAACATCTAGACAAAATGTTCATTTTAATGGGAAAAAAAATCAACAAACAATAAGCAGTGCACTTACATCTGGGATTAGTCAAGAGCATTATGCCAGGAAGAATGTGGTGGGTTTAGAGCAGGTCTGTGAGGCAGAACGTTGCTGCAAGACTGAAAAGGGCTTTCCTCCAAAGCCCAAAGGAAGAGAGAATGAACTTTGCCCCTAGCAGACCTTCAGGAACTTGGAAAAATCTGTCTGCAAGTCCAGCTTTCTAGAGCTTCCCTTGAAAATACCTGATTTCAGGGTCTGTGTATGCATGTATACATGTGGGGGGGCTGCTCCCCCCTTTATACCTCCCTTTCCCATGTGCACGTGTTTTCTCTCTCCTGCAGCTCAGCCAGTACCCTCATCTGCGTGAGGAGATGGAGAGGATTGTTACTACTCACATCCGTGAAAGAGAAGGCAGGACCAAAGATCAGGTAGGAGAGCAGGGGTGTGTAAGAGGGGGGACTGCACGGGGTGGAGGTCAGCTTTGAAGGGACAGTCTGGGTTAGAGGGACCTGAGCCAAGGGGTGGCTGGCTGCAAAGGGCTGAACAATATATGGGGCTCTGTCTGCCCCCGAGTATTAGCAATGTCAATCACTAACACTGGTGTTGCTCTCTGTGCCTCTGTTTGGCAGGTCATGCTTCTAATAGACATCGAGCTGGCTTACATGAACACAAACCATGAGGATTTCATTGGCTTTGCCAAGTAAGCACCCACATCCTATTGCCTCCTCTTCTCTGCATGTGTTTCCTGTGCCTCTGTCCTATAGCTGCTCCAATAAATGGATTGAAAAGGCTCTGGTGCAGATGCTGTGGTACTAAAGTATGGTTCAGCTCCAAGTATTGCTTCTTTTTCAGTGGCTCTGTGTTGCAAGGCTTGGGAGGAGTATAGGGATACTTAGAAGGTGGAGTTAGGGTATTAGGGTTGTGTCAGGGGAGAAATGAAGAAGCTGTGGAGGGTTAGTGACCCAGCTGTGGTTCAGGTGGGACTGTGAAGAAGGGTAGACCAGGCTGAAAGAGCAGATGGAAATAGATTGGGTTATCAAGGCTTGGAAACAAGTGGTGAGGGGCATGAACTCACTGTAGCAGCTGTCTTACGGGAGCAGGATTCAAGAAGAGCCTTGAGGGGTTTTGAATATCTCTGCTGTTGTTTGCAGTGCTCAGCAGAGGAGCAGCCAGATGAGCAAGAAGAAGGCAGCTGGCAACCAGGTAGGCCAAGTTCCATCCCCTTCACTGCTGCAAGAAGGATGTTTGCTACCTGGAAGCTACCAGGTGGACCAGTGCTGGGCTGGATGCAGCAGTGCTCTTAAGTTGGTTGTGGTTTTTGTATTGGTGTTTTGGTGACTTTTTTTTTTTTTTACTACTCAAACTGTTTATACCTTGAGGTCAATGTTTCAGGGTCACTGCAGTCAGAAAGAACTGAGCATGTAGCAGGAACGGAGGGAAAGTGGTATATAGGTAACTGGATGCTTGATAATAAAGATCTGGTCTTGCTTTTCTGGTAGAAGTCCCAGTTAATGGTTGTTCAGCCCTTTCAGTAGCTGTACTAACTCTTCTGCTGAGGTGAGGGGTACAGAACACTAGGTCTGAACTGTTGCAATACAGAACTCTTTTCTAGTCATCCTTCCCATCAGTGGTATCTACTTTCTGGAAAGGGATTTTAAGAGAGTTAATGGAACTCTCTTAAAAAAAAAAAAAAAACACACTTTTGGAAAACTTAACTGGAAATACTTAAGCCTCTGTACAGGGACACAAAAGGTGATTATAGACATGGTGGCACTGGGCACGTATGAGAACAACATGTGCATGAGAGAAGACAGCAGTGGACAAGAGGAGTTCCCTTATTCCTTCAGGAACTGTAAGGAGTATACATACACGTAAAGCAGCTAGTGGCACATTTGCTGGGAACGTGGCAAGGCTATGTAGGCTAGAAGATCTTGTGGAAACAAAGCTTTACAAGCAACTTCATAGAGAATGGAAACAAATATTTTTGCTTAGCCTTTTAGAGATACTCCTGTCATCCATCCTCTTCAACATATTTGACCACCTTTCCCTGCACATAAGTGTGCAGACTGCTTCAGTATGGCTGGCAGGCAGGTAGGTAGGTGAGCCGGCTGGGCTGGCAAACCATCCATTTCCTGGGATCTCAGAGAGCTGCAGGGAACCTCATTCTCTGCAGGATACCCCACAGAAGAGCTGAGCGTAAAAGAGCACAAAGGACAAATTCTGGATCTCCCTGTAAAGTGCTTTGGCTTTCCTGTTAGACTTTATTTTGGGATGGGGGTTGCTTTTGTTAACACCTGGGGTAAAAGATTTGGTACCAGCCTTCAGTTTATTTTATTTTTGAGCCTCTCTTCTCCTGCTCCAGCTTTCCTAGTAACAATCTCTCCTCTCTTTGCTCCTCTCCTGCTCTCTGCTCTGCTGCTGTTGCTATGGTTCCCCTTTGCAGGATGAGATCCTGGTGAGTAGAAGGCCACTCAGCAGGGTGTGCTAATGAACATTAATGTTGCATCTGGGAAGGCGAGAACAGTGCATAAACAAATTATTCCCTCTGCTGCTGAATGGGGAGAGGAGGGCAGCTGGCACTTAGGCACAAGTGAAGCAGAAATGAGGTGACAAGGTAGTATGTTGAGGACAAATTCATAACTGCTGGTACATCTTGTGAGTGGGTGGAGATAAAAAGCAGTAATCCAAGGATGTGCAGTTCTGTTTCACTGCCCCCTCCTGTCCACAGAGAGAATAAGACTATCTCAGGCTTAACAGTAGGAACTAGATGAAGATCCAGTGCCCCTGCTTGACCTTTACAGGGCAAATTGAAAATTAAAAGGATTGTGTACCTCTATGGTAGGCTGCTTACACAGTGCCACTCGCTAATATGCAGTGAAGTCACATGTTTTTTTAATGCCAGGTCGTTTCAGCAACCACATCCATGCAACAAGGTACACAAATGTAATGCCTGCAGATGTTTTGGGGTGTTAACAGTGCAGAAATACATATAAAAGTTAATGCATTTGAGCTGATGCATAGTTGCATTTGATTACTGCATGTGTGAGGCTCTAAACCAGCACTTGGTGAATTGGAGTTCCCTAGAGTAATAGCCTGGCTTCTTCAGACTAAACTTACAGGAACTTGTTTTGCCCTAAATTAATATGACTAAAATGCATGGGTATGCTGAAGTCCAGGGTACTAATTCCAGATGCACCATTTTGTTCTGTTATACTTAGTGTCTCCTTTTTACTAAACTCAATTCTTTTGGAGTTGCTTGCCCATCTCCTTCTTGAACCGGTTCCCCTACACCCGAGTTGAGTGAAGCACTCCACACGTGCGGTGCCAAAAGGTGTGCTGGTGTCCTGGTTTGCTCTAGGAATGGCCTTTTCTGGGTGTGTTGCTGTGATATGGTGCTTGTAGGTTGTGCCAGTGTCCAAGGTACTCTTGATTCAGTTCTTCCTGCATCTCTTTCCTCTTGGCAAAGGGTATAATGCACAGCACTGCCAGGTTCCTTCCTGCATCCTCTTTATACTATTGCTGGCCCTTTTGAGGCAAAGACCTTCACTGGCCAGTTGAGTGGGGGGCTCTTCTGGCAGCAGCAGAGAGCATGGTGTTCCTTGTCTTTCCATACCACTGTGTGTAGGGGTACCCTCTGATCTCTCCTCTGGCACCGAAGGCCGGGCAGTTAGGGCCCTTGCTAATGCTTGCTGTTTCCACCCCCTTAGGTCATCCGAAAGGGCTGGCTCACCATCAACAACATTGGGATCATGAAGGGTGGTTCCAAGGAGTATTGGTTTGTCCTGACAGCTGAGAACCTCTCCTGGTACAAGGATGATGAGGTGAGTAGTTCAGTTCTGTGAGGAGTCTCAGGCATCTGGGGAGGACAGATCCTTCAGTTCACTGGGTGTTGCAAATGTATCTTCTGGGTACTGTATGCAGCTTGTGACAGAAGCTGAAACTATCCTTGGGCTAGGTTCCCTGTTGTCCCAGCACTGTTGAGCTTTTTTGAATTGATGGGAATGTGGCTTTCTTGACACATAAAGAGCAATATTGATGCTTGAAGCCATGGCTCAGCAGAAAGTTGACAGACAATTGGGATTAATTTGACTCTTACTTGTCTCTCTGTGGCGACTGTGATCAAGGATATGATGGGTTAGTGCTAAGAACTGGACTTCTTGGTATTTGTGAGGCAGCCATGATGAGTTTCTTGAAGGAGTGTGGCAGAGGTTTTCATGCATCTCTCCTGGTCACAAGAAAAAAACTGTCTCCTTTCTGAGTACAGCAACAGGAGCTGTGGACCTGAAGCTGCAGCTCATGTGTTGGATTCTTCTAATTTTGAGTAAATTACTCTAGAACTGAAGAGTTTTAAACCTGCAAAGCAGCAATGAGTTTGGGATTGTTTTTTTTTTTTTAATGTTCCTATGTTGAATTGAAATTTAACACGTTATTTGTAAAAATGTTTGAATTGTGAATGGTTAGAGTACTGCTGAACAACCATACACTGGTGTGTGCAATATCACTGATGGGAACATGGACATACTCTGTAGAGCTGCTTGAAAGTCTTGGATGTTAGGAATTCTGGCAATGTGCTGTGGTGACTTTATGCTTTGGTGGGAAGTGATGGAAGCAGACAGAATTGTCCCAGCTCAAATAATCCCTGTCAAGAGTGTTGCTTTCTGTGCAAGACAAAGGTAGATATTTGTCTTTTCTGTTGACTTTAAATAGCGCAAGAAGAGCAGGATGGCTTTGGGAAGGGTGCAGTCAAAAGGGTTATTAGCCCCACTCAGTGTGCTGGGGGATGAAAAATGTCTGGTATGGTGCAGTCGTGTGTTCTGAGGCAACTGGGATTTCTGATTGCAGATAAAGAAACAACTCTGCCTCTTGTTGTTCGTGTCCCTCAGGTGTTCTGAGGTACACGAAGTGTGCTGGGGAGCTGCAGCCAGGCCTGGCTTCTTGTCTAGTTGGTATCAGTGGGCCCATTTCGTTCTCAGCAGGTGGAGATGATGACAAATATGTTGATGAATCAGCCTCCAAATATTGCTTTCTGCATGGAGGCTGCTGCTGGGCTGCTATGGATGAGCAGGTGGCAATTTTCTAATTAAAGAACCAGGCATTGAAATGTCTTGTGCTGAATTGATGTGTCTCTGCTGTAAGACCCCTGCCCTCTGTAGACAGGGCTGGTGGAGGAGGCTTTACTCTCCTCTAGGCTGCATATGCAGGTCGAATGGTTATAAACATTGAGTAGTTTAATCAAAGCCAGCTGCTACATCTGTATTACAGGGATGATCAGAACTCCCTGTTCTTCCCTGGGGAGTGGGAGGGAGGGTGGGAGGGCTGCAGTGGGGAATGTGTAAACTGTTGATGCATTCCAGTTGCCTGGGATGGGGATTGGACCTCCCTTCCCTCCTGAGGGTGGGCATCCTTTCGGGGGTCAGTAGCAACCAGAGGTCTGCACTGTTTCCCTTCTGCATAGCATGAGGTAGAGCTGCCTAATGAAAACAGTTCCCTGCCAGCCTCAGTCCCTTAAACACAGGAGAACCAGTGCTGATGAGGTCTGAGCTGCCTCTGAGAAAGGACCCTTTGTCCTCAACTTAGTGGGAGCAGGGGGGAAAGGGAAGCATGGTTTTTATTTGCTTCCTCCCCAAGTTCAACTCCTTGGTCACTGCCTGTTGTGAGGGAGAAAGGCAGCGAGGTCCTCCTGGACTCCATAATGGAGTCAGGCTGAAAGTTGGTGTGTTTGAGAGGCAGCTTGGAGAGCCTTGAACGTGGGGATTTTCATCCCAAAACTCAGTCCTGTGTGGAGCTGGCTCCATCCCAAAGAGCTGTCTGCAGTGCATGGTTCTCTGTCAGAGTTATCTTTGAATGTCTGTACCAGAGCTCTCCTCCTCCACCAATTCAGGAGGACGTGTCCTCTACAGCTGAAATGTTCTCATGTGTTTTTAAAGGCTATACACCATGATCTTTCTTCACTTAAGCTCTGGTAAGAAGGCGGAGGGAGGCTTTGTCTGCTCCACCCTGCACTTCTGTGGGCTCTCTTGTCCCAGTTCCCCTGTGTTCTGGCAGCTTTCCAGAGGGAGCCAGGAGGGAGCTGAATCAGCCTTAAGTGAATGAACTGCTGGTGGCAGAGCTGTGGGTGATGATGGGTGAAGGAACAAGATGAGAAGGTGTGTGATGGGGTGAGGGTGAAGGCCAGGCCAGCACCTCTGTAGCTGGGAGTAGTGGGGGCACAGCTTTGCCCTGCCCTGTTTTGCAAGTCAGGACCCAGAGTCTGTGGAATGAAGACATCTGGACCCCATTAGTGAAATACCAGTTTCCGCAGTGGTTTGTTTTTCCTCTGCCTCTGAAGAAAGGAACTGAAACTCAGAATTTCTTAAAGGGCCCAGCATTAAAGGCTAGCAGGGATCTATGGCTGCTGATGCTCTGGAGGGGCTTAAGGAGTGTGCTGGGGAATGGGAGGGGAAGGAAAGAGCAGACCAGGCGGGGGTGGAAAGTTGGCTCCCCAGTCTGCCTGGCTGCCAAGAGCATGTGTGTGTGCTCCTGGGCTCATGGGTTGTGTTTTTTTTTCCTGTCTCCTTTCAATGAGTCAAACGCTGGCCCCATGGAGAGCGGCCCCACAGAAGGCTGGCCTCCCAGGACCTGGAGACCCTCCCGAGGTTCCTGAACCCTGTGGGACTATGCTGCAGGCCAGAGGTGGGGAGGAGCTTGCTCTGGCTTCTGGAAATTTAGAGAGATTTCCTTACTCAGGGTGGCCAGTGTCGCCAGGGCTGGAGCAGCAGCACAGCACCACAGCAACCTGGTGAGCTGCTCAGCAAGCACCACAGTGGACACAATCCACGAACTTGATTTGAATAGTCCTTCAGTCTGAATCTCTAAGGAAATGCAGTGCCTGCTTCTCTGTGGGGCTTTCCCACCTGCTGGAAGAGGTTCAGTGAGCTGGGCTAGAGCTGCTGGCGGCAGGGACCTTGTAGGCAAGATGCAGTGAGCATTGTGCTCAGTGGTTCCTATCAGTGAAGCTTACTGCCTGCTGGAGGGGACCTCTGTGTCCTCTGCTCTGCAAGGGTGAGGTTTCTGCTGGAGTGCCTGTGGCTGTGTGCTGGAGTGTTTGCACAGCTGGGTAGATGGATCTATCTGCTGCTTCCTTTGGGAATTTGTGTGAATGTACAATACAGATGGGACCTTCTGTCTGTAAGCAGGTAAATCATGTACTAGAAATCTGGGGCTTGGATGAACAGGTGACTACAGGAGAAGAATATGGCCTGATTTGCTGGTGTGAAAGTATTCATGTGTTGTGTTCAATGTCAGTGTGTGCAGGAAGGGTGGGTGCACAGTTTTAGGTACTCTCAGGTGTGTGGAAGGTGCTTCATATTCTTTATTCATCATGTTGATTCCTTCTGTATCAGTTGTGCTTAAGCTCCTTCTCTGTCTCTTCTGCTTTTTCTTTTGCTTGAAGTACAAAGTGCTCCCTCCTGTCCTGGGGAGGATGTGGCCTTACTGACAGTTACTCCCTAGCTGCTTATTCTGTACCTGTTACGGTATCAACTCTAGCTTAAAAATCAATACATTAAAACTGAGATATTCGCCCTGTTCTCCCCACCAGCCCCCCAGCAGTCCATGTCCTTGAGGCTCTGCTCAGCTAGTGAAAATACTTTTGTCTTTGCTCTGATGCCCATCAGTTGCTAGAATCTTGCTGTGATGGGTCTGGCTGCAGCCAAGTTTTTGCATCCAGCTTGTTTGAAGACCGTAGGACTGGGTCTGCTCTGAGCTGCTTCCTCTCTTGCATTCATACTGCTCTCAGGTGCTCTCTGAAGCATGTTCCTCCTCTTTACATCTTCTGTTGAGGTCTTTCACTCATCTTTTTGTGTAAGTGCATGTTTTCTCATGGATATCTTACTCAGTCTTAATCAGTCCTCATCTATGCTTTCATTCACTGTTTCTCTTCTTTTCCAGACATCAAAGCAAACACAGCTTCCAGAGCATCCAAACCACCAACTTTCAATCCTTTGTAGGTCTTTTTATTAATGACCAGCATTTTTTACGATGTGAAATCCCCTTTGTCCAGTCACCTTTCTATGCTTGATCCTGACTTCTCGGGTAGCAAAGCACAGTGTGGTTCTGACCCCCCACCCCCAAGGCCCATGTATCTACCTGTGCCTTTTCCAGCAATGTTTAGCATGTGAAACACAAGCCATCCTGAACACAGCTACCCCTGGGACAAGTGCATGAAGCTGAAAGAAATAAGAAAGGGATGAGAAATGGAAGAGGGATAAGAGGGTTGTGAGCAGGCTGGTGAACAGGCAGGTAAAAGTGATCATCAGGTGTGGCTCCAGCGGGTTACATCCTCCAAGGCTGAGGGATGAGTGAGGTTTGCATGCAGCTCTCCCCACAGCCCACCCTCCCCAAGCATGACCCTCTGCCGTGCAGGTGTTGCCGTCCCCTTGCGGCACTGGCAGTGTGGTGTATCCCAGCACAGCCTAACCAATGTGCAGACTACTGTACAATCTCGTAGTCCTGAACAGGTAGTCTGAACACTGGGCAGACGGAGTGGAGCCTCTGCCATCTGCTCTCCGGCTATCAGCAGCTCATTAGTCCTTTCTCCTCCCTGCTTTTGGGATGGGGCTTTGGGGGCAGAGATGAGGTGAAAGAAAGTCCAAGTCCTGATTGAGAAAACATCCTCCTGGCAGCTGGGAAGAAATGATGTTGTGCTCTGCATGTTTCCAATTTGGAGCAAACTTCCAAACTCCCTCCTCTTCCAGGGCTGGTGTCAGGCTGCTACCTGGTTTCCACCTGGGGTATGCTGCACCTTTCTAGAAAGAGAGAAGAAAAAAAAAAGTTACTGCTG